AAAATAAAATAGGACAGTTAAATTTCGATGATGGATTAGAAGAACTTACTTGTCAACCCGATCTCTGGACTTCTTTAAGAACTTATCGTTATCTTTTTCGGGGTCCATAAAAAATTTCTATAAATGTATGTCGAGCATTTGAGTCAAGTGCTCTTACATCCGACAACATCTGATTATCAGAATGCTTTTCCGGCTGACCTAACGGACTATATGACTTGAAGATGGTTGTTCGTACCCAACAATAAGTAGGAAGTTTCTCCAGTGCATCCCATTGCAATACCTCTTCATCTTCCTTGGAATTACGACTTGTCCGTCCGTCATGACTACCACCAATACCAGGGGAAAACACATCTTCAATCCTCCAACCCGAGGAAGCGATGCTGATACCCCTACTAATGCTTCTTGCCAGACTCTCACTCACACTTAACTTCCCCTTTTCATCCATTTTTGAAACTTCAATTTGTTAATAATCCCACTAGGGTTCTTTCTTAAATACAGTTGAGCCAAGAATAAGAAACACAAAAGTTCACTTATGGTCCCTCTGGTTTGGAAAAAGTTGTTTCTTATGGTGGTATGGAATATATGCTCTTCATTGAGTAATCCATGGCATATATGGCATCTTGACCATGATTGTGCACACCACCTCCAGTGCCACGACTGTAGGCTTTCATAGAGAGCGGCACGGTGGATCACGAACCAATGGTTGGTTTTTGGCTATTTTCAAAGCAACTTCTAGTTGCTTAGTTAAAAAAAAAAGAAATCAAAATTCTAAATTATACATATTCATCGTTTCTATCGGTGCAAGAATAATAGCCATTAGCAGCGACAAACAAGTTTCCCGTTGTTTATCGCCGCCAATGTTGTAGAACTCGTTACTTAGTACCTGTTCGGCTGACTACTGAGTAGCGAGTACTCGAGAGTACTCGGGAGTACTCAGATTTGGTAATTCATGTAGAAATATTTTTAGGGAAATTATATATGTCAAAATCATAAGTTGATCGAAATATATATCAAAATTAGATACATGTTAATACACAATAGCTAAAAAACATATAATGGTCTCACTTCGTGGATAATTACTAAAAATTTAAGATATGTTTGTAGTAGTAATCACATGTGTGTGTTAAATAATAAAAAATTAAGTATATTATACATATTAATCACCGAGTTAACCGTGTTTCATAGCATTACTCATTCAAGTACGGAGCCGATCGTGGAGTACTCGGGATTCTGTAACTCGCCTCGATAAAGGGCCGAGTAGCGAGTAATCGGAGGAGCAATCGGCCAACTCAACGAGTTTTACAACACTGGTCGCCGCTAAAGGTGTGCATCATTGCTAATTTCTACACGTCATCGATTCGTTTTGACGACTTTGTAATTACATTGCTTAACGATTCCCTGAGAATACAAGTATGAAAAAAATGAATAGTGTGACTTTGTAACATCCATGCTCACAACTTTGTAATTACATTGCTTAACAATTCCATGAGAATACAAGTAGTTCGAAAAAGTGTCAACATTTAACTTGGTGAGTTCATAAGAGTTTTGTATGCGAAAAATCTGTAACTTTTCCTTGTAAAATGATAGTGTATGTTTCCTGAAAATCCAATATTTTCTTAAAAATGACTGTAGTCTTAAAACCCTAAGACCAAAAATGTATAATTATTGTTGTAATCGAAAGTAGTATTATGTAGTTTTATTCTTATATAAAACCATATGAATGTATGTTAGCCCCATAAACCAAATGTATTGTTAAGACCCCATGTGAGTTATTACAACCATGGTAAAATCGTAGTTGGGCTGCTGGGACGTTCTTCAGGTGTCAGAATGTTATGAGAATTATCACACCAAACTTGCCGGTCTAGCTTTAACTAACAACTTAGGGGCGGGAGTGTCAGTCTCGTATAGATCTATACAAAAGTATCACACTCTCTTACGGGAGATTGTCAGTTCCGTATAGATCTATACACAAGTATGAAACTGAGGACTTGGTGTAAAATTTTTAAAAGAGAAACCATTTTCACATAGAGATTTTTCAAGGAAAAAGAACGAGGAGTGTGATGCGTGCAATCAGCCGAGCTCTAGTAAGTTTTCCCCAAGATACCCATACATGTTTGTTATGATATATGATATGATTATGGGAACTGCATGTTAGATTAGGGCTAAGGATCTAGGAAGGATGCCTTATATGGCTGCTGCATTTGTATGAGAACTGCATGCTAGATTAAGGCTAAGGATCTAGGAAGATGCCTTATGTTCCTGCTATATGTGCTTATAACACTATATGATAGTAATGATTAGTCAGTGACATGATGAACTGATTAGGATATGCTTGGTTTGGTTACACAATTTCCTAATGTTGTTGCTTTGTGCTTTTAGGAGTTCTAGTTATCTTTAATTAGCTAAAAAATGAATATGTTAAGTTACATATTACGAGGACTAAATAATTTATGAAGGTAAGGTCTAGCCCTATTTCACAGATCTTGTTTGAGTCTAACCGTTGTAGGGTAGGACATCTCATTCGAAGAATTATCTGCTTTTAGTAATATGTAACAATATTTGCGACCTAGTTAAGGAGATATAGAAGGGACATCTTACGTAGCTGCTGGAGGAGAGTGGGTCTGAGATTACCCTAGGGTAAGCCTAGGATGAGATTAGCGCAGAAAGCAGTAGTAGTGAAAGCAACTTGGTGGATTCAAGGCAATTCTTGAGGAAAGTACAGATAGATGTGGATGGTAGTATGGGCCCATACTACTGAAGGTAGAGGATCCGTAGTCGAATCAAGGAAAGTTGAGAATAAACCAGGGAACTTGTGTGAGTATGAAGTCTCTCAATATTATGCATGACTCTGATGATTGTACAGTTTGATTCAGAATGGTGGTGACACGTCACAGAGCAGGAGGTTCAGGGTCTGTGTGAGGTTCAGGTACATGTTCCGAGCTGGTTGATGATAGATTGTGCGAGTTCATGGCATCTGAGATTATGAGAGGCATCCTTGAGGTGAACCTGATGATTTTTGGGTCGATCAAGGAAGGGATCATTAAGCTGATGGAGGATAGCCATAGGTCATTCAGGAGTGACATGGCATTTGGACAGACAGGGACTTGTATGCTCTCCTTCAAGGATTTCAGGGGATGTGGAGTGCCAGACTTTAGAAGGGAGAAGCACCCCATAATGGCAAGACGGTGGATCGTGGAAATTGAGTCTGCGCAGGAGATGAGCTTCTGCGCTGAGGGGTCGAAGGTCAGGTTTGCTGCTGGTTGCTTGAGACAGAGGGCTAGAGACTAGTAGGAGGCAGTCAGTGACACGTTGGGAGCCCCAACCATTGAGGCTATGACCTGGTAAGACTTTATGACCAAATTTTGAGCTGAGTTTGCACCAACTGTGGAGATTCAGCAGCCAGCCAGGGAGTTTCTGCATATGAGATAGACGAGTGAGTCAGTGGCGGAGATTACCTCCAAGTTTAGGGAGAGGGCCTTACTGGTGTCTCAGTATATGAGTGATGAGGAGATGAAGAAAACCCGGTACCATGATATGTTAAGAGATGACATTCAGAAATATGTCAGCTACTCGGCATGCTCGTCATTGGATGACATGATAGCGAGGGAGAGGGAGATTAATATAGAGCACACCAGGAAGAGGAAGGCTGAGACGGGGCAGACAACTGTGGTTTCTGGGAAGAAACCCATTGGATTCAACTTGTGGTCGTAGGGTCAGCAGGGTCAAAGCCACCGTGGGAAATGTGACAGTCCACACGAGGGAGTTTGCGGAGTTGGGAGATGAGGCTGCTACAAGTGCGGCATGTCTCGCAACTTTAGCAAGGATTGCACAGCCCTTAGCCCCACCATTCAAACCCCAGACTTGATTTGCTTTCATTGAAATCAGAAGGGCCATAAAAAGGCCAATTTCCCGAGATTAACATCAGGAGCGCCAGTGGCGGTGCCAGCTCCAGCAACCCTGTGGATCACGGATGGCCGACATAGCAAGACCGATGCTCCAGTGGTGAGGATCCGAGCCTTCCAGCTGATCGCCGAGGAGGCTCGTCCCACACCGGATGTGGTGAAGGGTATGTTATCTTCTCCCCAACTCTTACTACATTTCATGATGATATTTATGTTTATGTGCTTTGTTTAGGATCGTTGCATATGAACGGTATCCTAGTACATGTGTTATTTGATTCGGGGGATACCCGATCATTCGTATCTCTTGCACTCATCAAGAGGTTTTGTCACACCCCAAAACCGATGGCGGAAGCGTTCCGGGGCGGAGGATGTTATGTAAAGTATCACAAGCAATATACATAGTAAGCATAGTAAACACAAAACATTACATTACATAGAATCATTACATTTGTTTGAAAGTAACGTTATACATGATTATAGATATATACATCCAAAATGAACAAAAGTAAAGACGAAACTGCTAAAATGCTCCGTCTTCTCCAAAAGATCGCGGGGATACCTGTCTAACGTGGACATGAGAATACAAGCAGTTTTGAAAAGATCAGCATAAATCTAGTGAGTTCATAAGCGGTTTGTTTCTGAAAATGAACAAGTTTCCTTTAGTTTTCTGAAAAAGTTGTTATCCAAGAAAATCCCATACTTAAAGTGTTTGTGTGAAGATTCCTGAAAGTATGGTTATCCTTGAAAAGTACATTAGTTTTAACACGTATATAAAACTAATAAGTAAGTAAAAAAGTTTTCATAATCTAAATTGCGAGTTCCATAACCATACAATAGACTAGATAAAGCTCGGAACGGGGCCAATATTGTTTTATGACTTTTGTCACCTTTGGACCTTTCGGTCCGACTGTAGCTAGCAGCCAGGTGCAGGGTAGTCAATCCCGTATAGATCTATACAACAAAGTCACGTTCTCCCTCCAAGAGATTCTGGTTACGGGGGTAGTCCTACACTCTCGTAACTAGGGGGAGTGTTACAAGGACGTGTCTCCAATCTTAAGATTAATGAATTAAAAAGATAATAAAATGGAAAATTCTGTTTTATTGGTCCTTCACTCTCGTATATAGGGGGAGTGTTATCAAGGACGTGTCGAAAGTTCTAAGTTTAATGTTATTAGTCCTTCACTCTCGTAACCAGGGGGAGTGTTATCAAGGATGTGTCTGAAGTTCTAAGTTTAATGTTATTAGTCGTTCACTCTTGTAACTAGGGGGAGTGTTATCAAGGATATTTTTAAAGTTCTAAGGTTCATGCTTTTAACAGTAACGATATGGAAAATCGATTGTGAAATATAAAATATAGCATTTTATAATGAGTTTCACAGTTGGTTAATACGGTTTCCAGTGTTAAAAGGATACGAAATATGAAACATTTCAAATGAAATCACAAGTTTGAGTACAATATTTCCTTGTACTTTGGCTTGTATTCCCCCCTGAAAACATTGAAAAACACGGAAAAAGGTGTAGGGGTATGAACTCACCTGCTTTA